AAACCCATGCATGCATGCAGAAATGCTGAAAGTCAGAGAGATAGCTCAACTTCCCCAACCTGCCCAGCCAAAAAGGCTTGTTTTCTATCTGTGGGGAGTTGAGACACAGATGAGACCATTCCAAACATTCACCAACCACTGACAACTAGCAGTGTCAACCAAAACATCATCCTGGGCAGATGCCGGACAAATGTTCCAACTTTTCGACACAGGACCCAGTTAATGCTAGATGGTAGCACCAGCCACTCCCCTAAGGGACTATTCAGAAGCAGCAACAACAGGGAGAAACTGGTACCCATGCATGGAGGCCACATGCAACTATCATGAAATTTTTTTCTGTGCCACCATGGTTGTGCAAACAAATTGAGGCTGTGGAATCTTTGGGGTTGAAAATTACACCCCATTTAGTTTCCAGAAGCTGGGGAGAATTTGGGAGAAGGGGGAAACCCCATGAACCCTTGGCCCAATTTAAGATGATACAAAAGAAGGTTTGGGGCCTTGAAACTGAAAAGGTCGAAGTGGATTCCTATAGCTCCTAAACTTGTTGCTAAGAGACACGCTTAATTGAAGGAGGGGAGGAGGAGAACAGGAAGAGAAAAGGGAAGACTAAAATAGTAACTGTTACTTAAGGACCAAGAATGCAGTGATAACTTCTGAGGAAGAAGAAGAAAAATATTTTCCCCTTCAGCTCATTCTGTTCAATCCAGAATGTTTTGTCTGAATGTTTTTCTGAAATGTTTGCTTGCAATGGGCACCAAGGGTTGCAGCTAAGGACATTCCATTCCTAACCTCCAGAAAGCTGAAGTCTTGTGAGTACGCATATTTTCCTGGGTACTAGGCAAATGAAGTCCTGTATGCACAGAATCCTCTATGGAACTGTGTGTACCTCTTCTCTCTCCTCCCCCCCCCCCACTAACCACCCTTGTAGTTTTCCTGTTACTCTCCAGCGTGGCCAGAAGAAGATGGGGAAAAAACTTGTTATGCTCCAAGTGATCTTTTTGTGCCTTTCTGGAATTTGTATCCAGTTGGAGGCATGGGTGTGGGACAATTTCTGCTTGGGAATGGTGAGGAAGTAGCTGGTTGTTATAATGGTGTGCTAAAATGGCCCCAGAATTTAATCTGAGCAAAGACTGCATAAAATCAACTTTTGTTTCCATTGTTAATTATGTCAGTAGTGTAAGGAGACAACTGGGTAGCTCCCTTGGTTAGAGTGTGGTGCTGATAATGCCAAGGTTGCAGGTTCGATCCCTGTAAGCGACAGCTGCCTATTTTTGCATTGCAGGGGGCTGGACTAGATGATCCTCAGTGTCATTTCCAACTCCATGATTCTATGAAATGGGGCAAGACTGGCACACCAATCTTGGGTATAATGGATAATGGCACCAAAAGGCAAGGATTGTGTAATGCAGTGTTTCCCAACCGGTGTTCCGCGGCACACTAGTGTGCCGCCGGATGTTGCCTAGTGTGCCGTGAGAGGGAGGCGGGCGAGTCGGGCTAATCCTCCGACGAGCTCCACCTCCAGACCCATTGCTCAAATCCTTTAACCCAGGAGGGCGGGGAGGGGGGGGGAGAAAGAGAAAAAAGAAAGGGTGGGAAAAAAGAAGGGGAAGAGAAAATATTTTTTTAAAAAAAGGAAAGAGAGGGAAAAAAGCGAGGGATGGAGGAAGGGGAATAAACAGAAGGGGAGGACAATGAAGAGGGGCGGGGCTTGGCAGGCAGCAGATAACTGGGGAGGGGGGCGCGGCTGGCGGCGGCTCAAGGCAGGAAGGGAGGAGCTGCCTCGCGGAGAGTCTTGGGCTGCAGAGATTTCCTGTTCAGGAGCGCGGGAGGCCACGCCGTGGATGGGAATCTCCTCCTCCTCTTCCTCCTCCTCCTCCAGGAGAGAGGGTGGTCCGCCCCACCGAGTCGGGCCTGCTCAAGCGTGGGAGCCTATAGTTAGAGCTCAGCTCCTTTTCTTGCCTTCCCCGCCCCCCCACGGAGCACATTTTCCTCGCCCCCCCAACCCCCGCATGTAGAATAGAAGCCCTCCAGCCTCCACGGTGCACAAACTCTCCCCTCTGCAACGAAGCGCTTTGTTGCATATCTTTGGTGAGGTTTTTAGGCAGTCTTGGTGCACCTTAAATCAGCGCTAATTGCGCCTGGACGCAGTATTTACTTCCGAGTAGGCCCCCTTCTCCCCCCCCAGTAGCACCTGACGTTGCTATTCGTATCATCAGGTTTGTTTGTTGATAATTTAATTGTTTTAAAAGCATCATGCTAAAGAGCTCTCTCCCACCCCCAGACCCTTGGGCAAAACAGAAACACACACATACACAAACACAGAGATTGAGCCCTGCAGGTTTTATGAAATGAATGGATTCTGAATGCCTGTTTCAGTGGCTTGTCCGCCTTAGGCTGCTGGGCCAGACACCTGTTACACGGTGCAGTCCGTAAGCTGTGAGCGCTGCTACCTGCCGCCGAGACCACGTAACGACAGTCTTGAAAGACCTACATTGGCTCCCAGTACCTTTCCGAGCACAATTCAAAGTGTTGGTGCTGACCTTTAAAGCCCTAAGCGGTTTCGGTCCAGTATACCTGAAGTAGCGTCTCCGCCGCCATCGTTCAGCCCAGACACTGAGATCCAGTGCCAAGGGCCTTCTGGCAATTCCCTCACTGTGAAAAGTGAGGTTACAGGGAACCAGGCAGAGGGCCTTCTCGGTAGTGGCACCCGCCCTGTGGAATGCCCTCCCATCAGACATCAAAGAGATAACCATTACCTTCTATGCTGTTACTATTTTTTTATTTTTTTTTACATAAGTAAAAAGTGACCTTTCCCCATCTGGCATGGTGGTGTGCCTCGAGATTTTTTTCATGAAACAAGTGTGCCTTTGCCCAAAAAAGGTTGGGAAACACTGGTGTAATGTATGGGCCACTATGGAAATATTGTATTTTCTTGCTGCAGACTGTGCAATTCCCCCTTCTTCTTGAATTGATTTGAAAGACAAAACTGCAAATCTCACAGTCCTTGGCAGAAGATGATAGCCAAAGACCACGGTGATTATGCTTTTCTCTGTCTCCTGATTCAATTCAGGAGGCATAGAAAACTCCTGCATATACTCGGGTGGGAGGGCATAATTTCCAGCTAAGGACAGACCACACATCTGGTTATCCCTTCTCTTCCCAAAAATAACTATTACTTTTTGTTTGGAAAAAGGGGAAACCAGCAGGGGAGGGCTGGCTAGTGCCAGGAGCAGGAGACAAATGCAGTTTCAAGCTGGTCCCAATTTAAATGTGACAAGTTTTTGGTTTGTTTGTTTTTAAGCTGGTGTTAGTATTTGGAATCCTTCAACCTTCAGAATTTGCCCCTAATTCATAGATACATAGAAGGATAAATATGCCCCCCCAAGCATCATAAAGCATCATAAAGGAAAGAACAAACATGCATGTTGTGCTGTATGCATTTAAAAGGTCAGGAAAGAATAGAGCAAGCTATTTAGAAGCAACCTTCCAGGGTTTACACATACATGGGAAGTGTCTGTCTACTAGGTGCAATGCAATTACAGGTCAGCATAACTGGTTTAATAGGCTGGCAGGACTCAATAACTTTTTATCATGTGACTAAAGTTGAGTATGTCAGACATTCTCCTCCTTCAAGAGGTACATGAATTGGCAGATTTGACTGTGGGAGCAGGAGGAGGGGAATATGAAGAGATTGTTTTAAAAGGTGATGATGCAGCTTGCCCCTGAAATCAGGGGCCTCTGAGATATAACAATACTCATGCTACTTGCCATTTCATTTTGTCCCACTCTTATCAAGCATGTATAGTCATACCTTGGTTCTCGAATGGAATCCATTCCAGAAGTTTGTTCAACTTTCGAAAACCCAAAGTGCAGCTTCCGATTGGCTGCAGGAGCTTCCCGCACTCAATCAAAAGCCATGACGGACATTCGGCTTCCAAAAAAAGTTCGCATACTGGAACACTCACTTCTGGGTTTGCGGCGTTCAGGAGCCAAAACATTTGAGTCACAAGGCATTCAAAAACCAATTTATGACTGCACTTACCAGTAAATACTCAACAGCCACAGCAGTATGCAAACCAAGAGGCTTAAGCCACTGCCAAGCATCATCCCAGTTTAAGGGTGGATACTTTCTAACACACCTCAGATGAAAATTTATTCACTTAATTTTTGTGTGAGATAAGCCCCTCATTGTTGAAATGGCACGATCAAATCATTTCCCTGAGGTCTGGCAATCAGCATGCTGTCTTAAGGAATTTATGAAGGTGTATACTCAGAAAGTGCATTTTTAAAACACTGGATGCAGCAAATCTGCATTTGTTTTGCTATTTATATTTATTTTCATGAATTTCCTCTAATCCAAGTAACTCAGGTTGGTATAGTTTCTCCTCAAAATAACCCTGTGAAGCTGGTTAACAAAGAGAGAGTGACTAGCTTAAGGCTACCAAGTGAGCTTTGAGCTGAGGTCTCCCCAGTCCAAATCCAAATAATAAAAGCTTGAAAATTCAAAATCAGTGTATACTAACAAAGATCTGACCAGAAAGCTGACAGTTCAACAACCAAACAAAAGTATCTAGGCCATATCTGCACAGCAAAGTTCTACTGATTTTATACAAGTTCTTCTTTTTTTTACATGGCTTTCTCTACCAGGATCCTTAGCTGGATAATGCTGAGAACAGCCTCTGGTCAGAGGGAGGAGATTCCCCCCTCCCCTCCCCCCAAACTACAGATCACAAAGCTCCTTAGGGAGAGAAAATGACTTTTAAAGAAATTTAACTGTATTGTGCAAATACGCTCACCATGTTTCCATGGGAAAAGCTGCTTCAACCAACCAACCAACCAACCAACCAACCAATTGCTAACTAAAAATCCTAGGAAAGTGTTATAAACTTATAAACACCAAGGATGAATTCAGTTCTCCTCCAGCAGCTCTGCATACCCTCAAGTCCCCAGGCCATGAAAATGGTGGCAAAAAATAAGGAAAACTCCAACCATTTACTTACATCTGGATAATAGTCTGTGGTGGGTACTAGGCGTTCAATCAGGGCCTCTAGTGATCCAGAGATGAGACTCCCATCTTGATAAACAGGATCTCCACTCCTCTCTCCTGTATCTGGCTGCACCTGCCCACTACATCCGGAACCAAGCATGCTGGAAAATATTGGTGTCTGGGGCATAGTTTCCTGCAAAAGTGGAGGGAGAAAATGGAAGTGATGTGAGCCATATACAGCGGCTTCTTCATGTGTCTCATTGGTGCTTTCCCATGTTTTGAAGAAATATCAGCCTGATCCTGTGCAACATTAGGCCTGCTTAAGTCCACTACAATTATTCGGCTTAGACCTCTGGCCAACTCTTCATAGGGTCAGACTGTTTTTTTGTACTGCACATAACATAGCATGAACTTTGGAAGAGGAATTTGCAGTCCCAACATGCCCAAGTGTGCACGAAGCCTTTTGTCTGGCTTTGTTATTAAATACGCATTGATAGGTCTACATTGTGCACTGGCTAGCAGGATGACATTTGTGTCTCACAATAAGAGTGTTTGAAGACAACCTCGAGGACACATTCTTACAAAGAGTAAACCAAACAATCAGTCTTAAAAATTGTTCATAAGGATTCCTATAAAAACAAGTAACTATTAAAAGAGAAGCTTAAGATTAACAATTAAAATATTCCAATGAAAAACCCACAAATTAAACACATGGTGGAAGTGAGTTGCCTTACAGCAGGAGTTGGGGACCTGTACCGTTCCATCCAAGGGTTGTTCAACTTAATCCTCAATAGCCTCAGCCCAAGTGATCAGTGGTCATGGTTGGTGGGTTCTTCGTCCTGCAAATCTGCAAGCTCCTCACTCCTGGGTTTAAACTTTGTAAGTAAAGACTTCAAACAGTGGACCTCACTTGGGGGGAGAATTCTCAAGAGAAATGACACTGCTCTTCCAAGGCCATCAATGTTTAAGCATCCCAAGGACAGGGCATGTGTAGTGAAGTCTCTTCACCGGATCTTGACAGGGCAGGAAATATCCACATGACATGAGGAGCTTCCCAAGGTGGAACAAAGCAATTCTGCCTGACCCGTTTAGATGGCTACTTAGCAGAAAACCAATTCAAGCATGGCTGTTCTCCTTGATCTGGTTTAGATCTTGACAGCAGTTCATCTCATTTGCCCTGCCCTCTCATACATGGACACTTCTAGAAGTGTCTGAAGATGTGTCTGATGACACAATATCTGCCAAAGAGCAGGTAATCTGGGGAGGCAGTTGGCTTCTGGAACACTGAAGAACGCGTTGCTGGGGTGATGCTTTCAGAGGTGTGCAGGCTATAGGGACAGTTGGGAAACCAAGCAGTTGGTTAAACTGAGTCTCTGAGTCTGGCAGCTTTCTCTAAGCATGGTCAGAGGGAGGTGGCAGGAACCAGGTCTTATCCTGGGACAGAAATACATGGGGCCAGACTGTCTGCTTGTCTTAACAACATACTGGTGAGTGCAAACACAACCTTACAGGATCTTGTGTTTCTGTCTTGCTTCAGGGAAAAATAGTATACCTGCTATCCTGGGTTATTGGCAGAGATCAGAGCTCCCCCCCCCCAGCTCTTCTCCTAGCTATCAAACTGAAGAATGCGATAGTCAACAACTACAAATATGTGTGGCTGCAAAGCAAATTTACATGGGAGGCGAAAACAATCAAGTTGCCATGGTGTGCTTAGATCATGAAACGTGAATGTCAGAGTGATTATGCATCAGCCCTCCATATGCTTTCTCAGTGTCTCGTGTTTACTAGCCTGAATTTTCAAGGTTGCTAAGCTATATCAGGAGTAGCTGCTAAGAGAAATCCTCAATAGTGGCTCAGGTGACATCGCTTTGCTTCCTTCGTGCCATGGATATTGGGATGGCTTTGTAAACATTTCATGGCTGGTATGTATGGTATCACGTCCATGAGACGGTGTTATTGCCATGAACAAGGGATCTAGTGGAAAATTAGTTTCCTGAAATATGTGACTACTCGATGCCTATAGCCAAAGATAGGGCTCTTTATTGCTAGCTAATATGCAATTCTTCACCTTTGCATTTCCTGGTCATGAGCAATTTTGCTATCTCAGTTTTCTTTTCTTTGCAGTCTCTCTCCCCCCCACCCCAGCCTTTGCTTTCCCTCCATTCTCTGGACCCTACTTTCTTTGATGGATTGGCACTGCTTTCTCAGGACCTTTCCTTTCCAAACCCCCCGTTTCTTCCATATCACCTTTCCTGCTGCCTGCAATGCTTGTTTCCGGGCTCTGAGCTGCTGAGCCAATGGCAGTCAGAGACATTAGAGCAACTAAGCCAGTCACTGCCAGGCACATCATAAACCACAAAGTCCCCCTTAATCGCACTAAAATGTAGATATCCTGCAATATTTGAGGATTCATTAACTAAGTTATAACACATCACTGTTAAGTACTGCTAGAGCTCCTGTATGCCATCACTCAGAATTCTACCATGCATATGTAATGTCTATATGGCACATGAAAAATTCCACCAGCTATGGAGCTTCAGCAAACTTTGTAATGGGCATGTGTGACTCCTTACTGCCCTTTGATGCATATGCAAGCAAACAGTTCATGAACCTCCCACTACCTGATGAAAATTCACGGATGTTCATTGCAAGGTCCAAGGTGGTGAGTCAACCTCACTTCATCATTAATACTAACACTAAAATAATGGTTGCTTTCTACTGTTCACCCTCTTCCACTCCCTGCATTCCTGGCAGCTCAACACAATATGAAGGACATGCAGCTGCCTGGCTTATCAAAATCTAGGGGGCTACTGTGAAACCCAAAACAAACCCTGAATGGTGTAACACAAATGCCTCACACCTCTTAGGACAATAGGGGCTAGAACAAGGGTATTGCAACTCTCATAACTGCTCCCATTTCAGGTCCTTCACACAATTTACTCATATAAAAAAGAGGGGGATGGAACTACTTTTGGGGCAACATTGAGGAGGCAATACCACAACATGATGTGAGCTGGGGGAGCAACATTAAATTTCATATGGGACATTAATTCAATGTGAGCCAGCTCTGCTATATAAAGCACCAGCCAAACTTTATGTTCCCTTTTAAGGAAGCTTCCCCCCCCCCAAAGCAATATTTAGCTAGCCAGTTGGGGACTTGTCTAAGTTAATTCCAACACCACCCTGACACCAAGACATAACTAAAAGAAGAAAACTCCTGCCAGCTCATATGCTAGGACAGAATCCTGCACAGCTGTTTACGACTTAGAAGGCGGAATGTCCCTAATAGTAAACAGCAGCATATCCCTCCCACACTTCAGGCCAGTGTTTGTCATTTAAATGTTTGAAGTGACTCATGTGAATGGGGACGAGAGACAAAATGTACAGCATCTAATTGACATATAATTGAGAAATGAGACACGGCAATTCTATGCACAAGTGCTTCCTTGGTAATGTTCTGTGGTATTTCACAAATTTAGTCACAAGGCATCCTTGTAGGCTCACATGACAGCTTGACAAATGGGATGTTTCTTTGGGAGGGAGGGAGGGACGTGGACGGCAGCTCGACTCTGTTTATTATGCGAGTTGCCTGTGAGTTTACTCCTTCCTTTTAAGGGATATGGCAGTGGTTTTTAATGAGCTACTCATGTAGTGTGCGCACTGTCAGGCTATTTCATCTAGATGCATGCCCAAACTGCAGATTATGGAATAGGAGGGAACATGCTTCTTTCATAGTATTAAAAGGCAGGGTCAGGCAATGAAATTGATTCATAGGCAGGGTTAACACAGGCAAAAAGAGGTATTCCTTCACAAAGTGAATAATTAACATAAGATTCAAAGCAACAAGATGCAGGGATCTGCTTAGACCAGTGGGGCCTGCAACAAAATGTTGTCATGTAAAGGTAAAGGTAAAGGGACCCCTGACCATTAGGTCCAGTCGTGGCTGACTCTGGGGTTGTAACGCTCATCTCGCTTTATTCGCCGAGGGAGTTGGCGTACAGCTTCCGGGTCATGTGGCCAGCATGACTAAGCCGCTTCTGGTGAACCAGAACGGTGCACGGAAATGCCGTCTACCTTCCCGCCAGAGTGGTACCTATTTATCTACTTGCACTTTGACATGCTTTGAACTGCTAGGTTGGCAGGAGCAGGGACCGAGCAATGGGAGCTCACCCCGTTGTGGGGATTCGAACCCCCGACCTTCTGTTCGGCAAGTCCTAGGCTCTGTGGTTTAACCCACAGCGCCACCCACGTCCCAAAATGTTGTCATGTAGTGCACTTCTTTTCAAGGCTAGAGCCTGCCAGCCAAGCCCTCTTTCAGGAACACCATTCCATACTCCTCCCAGTTGCCATTCCACCAATGGACATTCAGCATCCTGAGGCCACCGACTATGGACAGTACTAACTAGATGGTTTTGGTAGTGATGGGGTTTTCCTTTTAAGATTTTCCCCTAGGGAATTTTTTTTGTATTTTTGCAAACCTTGGGTTTGCTTCCAAGCCTGCTGCTCCCTCCCTCTTGTTCATCAGTGGCTCCATTTAGGATACAATCCTGATAATAATAAAAATGTTATTATTTATACACCAGCCACCCTGGACAGCTTCCAACACATAAATAATAATAATAATAAAATGTCAAACTTCCCAATACAGAGCTGCCTTCAGATGTCTTATAAAAGTTGTGTAGTTCTTATCTCTTATCAGTTGAGGAAGACAGGTGTATCAACAGCTCTCAGCTGTGATAGTTGAAAGTTACCATGTTAAGAGGCAGTAGACCTCTGAACACCAGATGTGGAGGGCAGACCACATGGAAGCGCTGTTGCCTTCATGCCCTTTCTCATCATCTGGCCAGCTGTTGATGTAAACAAAATGCTGGACAAAATGAACCTTTGGCCTGATCCAGAAGGACCACTCTTGTGTTCTTAGGCACCTAGATTTGAATATGAAGACTAGAATCCTTGGCCATGAATGAAGAGATTCCAAATCCATGAAATGACATGGATAAACAACCCCCTCCTCACATAATAAATAAACTTGGGTAGAGGCTTGCACCTGCTAGCAACTTTGCTGGTATTGGTGCACATATTACCCACGCTCCCTGGCACCCACATGTTCAGAATGAGTGGAAAAGCAGAATGTGTGCAAACTGCTGTACATGTGTACAGCTTGGTTTGTGGGGCAATCAGCGTTCCCAATTC